GTTCAAGGCCAGGATGAAAAAGCTCCCGAAGCGGAGCCAGAACGAGAAGTACCGGCTCAAGTACCTGCGGCTGCGCAAAGCCGCCAAAGCCACGGTGTTTGTGAGTCGCACGCCGCTCGGCCCGTCGCCCCGACGCCCGCACCCGCGAAAGCTTTCCCCAAACCGTCCCCTTCCCGGGGGGCGGCGGTAATCTATGTGTTAGCCTTGGCAGTGCACGTCGCTTCTCGGTAGCCCCGTGTCCTGGGACAGGTCACGTCCTTCTGTAATCCTGGTTCTTGTCTGTGAGATTGAATAACTACCCTGAGAGTTGTGAAGATTAAATGAGGCAGGGAAAGGCTTTGGTGTCTCGCTGTGCCCGTAAGTCTAGCGGCTCTAGCCAGTATCCTTATAACCGCAGCACTCTTGGGAATGCGTCTGGTTTGCAAGAGAACCCTGAGGACGAGGCACCGTCTTTAACATAACATTGACGCCCGGAAAGATAATGGGCGGAAGGGCGCTGTGTCGGAGCCCTGCCCGACTGGACACCGCGATTCTCGTTTCTTCATTACTTACCCCCCCCCCCCCCCCTACCCCTACCCGAAACAGACACATGCACGAAGCTTTCAGCAACGTAACCCCTTCCGACCTCTGAGCCTCCCGTGTTCCTGCCCTGCTTTTGCTGTAGAGGCGCTGGGGCCCCGGGTGCAGGAAGGGGCTGTCTGCCAATGTCTGGCTCCGCCCAGGCTTGCTCGGTATTTGGCAATAGTAGAGTCCTCAAAGGTCCTCCCCCCAGGTCGGGATCACCCACCACCTGACCTCTTCTTTCTACCAAAAACTTGGAAAATCCTTCAAGCTGTTTTTGGAAGCATAAGGACAGGTTTGGAAATGAGCACATTCATTCCCCAAACATTTACTCAGCACTTGCTGTGTGCACTGGAGAGAAGTAAGCAAAGTCAGATTAAGAGGATCGGATACCTTATTCCCCCCTCCCTACTTGTCAAAGGCACATAAAGCTTGGAGCCGCTGTTATTAGAAGGACTTTGGTTCCATTAAGTGTTACGTAAAGGTTTTGTGGAGAAAAGGGCTGTTGTTTTGAACATTCAGAGTTTGAGGGCCCACCTTGTGGAATGTCCAGCTTGGAGCAGCCCCTTCAGGACTGAACGAATGAGTGAATGAATGAATGATGCTCGGGAAATAGATTGAGTCATCAGTACAGGCAGACAGTACTTGGATAAGGAAATTTAAGCATTTTACATACTGGAGTTGATTTTGTTCATCCCATTTTTCTCTTTAGGATTCATATTGCACTGGATGCTTTGGGTTAGGTTGGTTTTCTAAGCCCCTCGAAGTGAAAGTACTTGGGAATGGATATTCATATTTTTATGGGTTGAATTTAAGCATCTGTGGATTTAAGCCATATTCCCTTTTCTCTGCCAAAGGCTACCCTACTTAGGATGACTGTACATCTTGGTTTGCCTAGAACAGCCATAGTTTACCATATTGTTCTGGTGTTATCATTAATAGTGCCCCCTTTTTACTCAGATACCCCAGTTTTGATAAATTCTATAATTACCCTGACTCTACCCTTACCTACAGGTTCTTTTATAGTTTGCACGGTAGACTAGTTCTTCCTTCTTATCTAGCAACAAAGACTTCTTTGGTTTGAAATAGAACTCTTCTTCCCAGCATAATACTTTGATCTTTTATTCATTTTATGTGATTACTAGAGGCCCAGTGCATGAAATTCTTGCACTTGGGGGGTGGCCCTCAGCCCAGCCTGAGCCCTCTCGCAGTCCGGGCTCCCACCACCACCACTGCGCTCACCAGCTGTGAGCCCAGCTCAGGGCTTCTGGCTGAGCAGTGCTCCCCCTGTGGGAGCGCACTGACCACCAGGTGGCAGCTCCTGCGTTGAGCGTCTGTCCCCTGGTGGTCTGTGTGTCATAGTGACCCGTCATTCTGCCGTCGGTCCATTTGCATATTAGCCTTTTATTATATAGGATATTTCTTTCTTTTTTTAAGGAAAATGCTGCTATTTGTGATGAAATTGCTCGTCTTGAGGAAAAATTTCTTAAAGCAAAAGAAGAAAGACGGTGAGCAGACTTCATTTTGTGTTCAGAACCTCAGTTTTGGTGATTGATATGATGTTATCGCTCTGGGGATTTCTCTCCAGTGGGAGTTTTGTGCATTGCACAGCCCGCTGGCCACTGATCAAGTAGAGAAACCTACAACCTGTGGTACTGGCTCCTGTTTACTCAGGTCGTGTTAGACCAATAGTGATGAGACAGCTCCTCTATTCATCTCTCTGATAAAGCCCTCTTGCTCCAACTAATAAGTAATCTAATTATGACTCCACAATTATAAAAGAAACTCTTATTCTGCAAATATTTACTCTGTGCAAAGCACAATGAGTATATATATATCTGCAATTCATGGTATATGCCCTTCAGAAGCCTAATACCTTCCAGATGCAAAGAGATACAGTGCAATCCTTTATCCTTGGCTCCTTGAGTATTCTCCTCTGGAACTTTATTATTCTCAGGGTCCAATAAGAATGTTACCTTTGTGAGTACATTAATCTTTATATATAGTTCTGGCTTTCCCAGAACGTAAGTAAAATACTGACCTGAGATGAAAGGGAAGTTCATACATCTGCTTCCTCTCCTTCCCACCTAGGTACCTGCTGAAGAAGCTCCTGCAGCTGCAGGCTCTGACTGAAGGGGAAGTGCCACCTGCCGCTCCTGCTCACAGCTCCAGTTTGCCCCTGGCTTATGGTGTGGCCAG